GTAGCGGTGAGCGATCTGGCTGAAATTGTTTCTGGTAGAATCACAATTAATTACTTGTGCCTACATACAAAGCCTGTCACTTCAACTGTAGGCTTTAGAAATCTCTGCATTCTCCTGATTTTATTCTGAAAGTTCCGATTGAAAATGTTGATTCATATGTTAGTGCTTTGATGCTTCTTTCAGGATCTTAAACCGCTCGTCACTATTTGGGCCAGATTATAGCCCTTTTCAAAATACTCATAGGAGTTTTGCCAATTAATCGCCGATGTATTCTTAATTTCTAATAAAACAGTAAATGCTGTTAAGTGTCACAGTCGCTTTTCATTTTGTACAATTTGATTTAGTAAGAAGACAAATATTCTCCGAGGCAAAAGCGTGTAAAACACTTCAGCAACATGACGAAAAGCTCAGTTTGTGCTGCTGCTTGTTGCAAACAAATCAAACGTGGCTCACGGAGATGACGAAGAGTTAAGATTGTTTGTTCAGCGGTGAGATCACTCACTCTGCTGCAAAGTCTTTTTGCCAAATATCCAAATGGCATCGACCTCAAAAAATCCACATGGGTCGGGCCCGAGTCGCTATACTCCTCCGCCATGCTGTTTACAAAATACATGACACCTCCAAGTTAAGTAGCGCAAGCAGTGAACGCCATCTTAATTGTGTCACAATCAAACATACTTTTTCTGAGTTCATACGGAGCGGGAGATTTTGGACGGTCCTTTTTATTTAATTATTTCATAGCGTTATCTGTCTGAGTCCTCTAAAAAGCAGATCATATGCTAGATTAAGATTATACTCGATACACAGGGTGGAGAACCCCCGTGGAACGCTGATGCGAAAAACAGTGGACTTTTGATTATGATTCAAAATATCAGTATTAGTTTTAATAGTAAATCATTTAGTTCGGCGATACCTTCATGTTGGAGGTAGTGATGGGTCTGAAGCTCCATGAAGGCCGTTCTCACAGAGCGTCCGTGTTAAAGTGTTCGTCTCTGCACTCTCAGGCCCCGACAGAGCGGCAGCTGCGCTACAAAGAGAAGGTGACGGAGCTGAGGAGGAAGAGGAACACTAGCCTCAATAAGGAGCAGAAAGAGAAGTACATGGTAAGTGAGTGAAAGTCAGTAAGCAGATGTTCTTGCTCCTTCTTATTTGTTAAAGGTCCTTCTCGTTTCCTTCTCCTCAACCAGGAGCACCGTCAGAGCCACGGGACGAGCCGGGAGCCGCTGCTGGAGAACATCACCAGCGACTACGACCTCGAGCTGTTCAGGAAAGCGCAGGCACGTTCCTCGGAAGACCTTGTAAGAGAGAAAACTCATCATCACCTCCCTCCCTTGTTCCTTTTCTTCGTCCCTTTCTTTTTTGTCCTCCCCCTTCCCCCCTTCCCCCCTTTTTCTGCCTTATTCCTCTTCTTCTCTGTTTCAGTCCGCAAACCCTCCCCTGCAGCCACAGGAGGAGTCTGAGATATTTTTGGTAGTTTGGACCAAACCACTTCTGTCACTCTGTGTTTGTTCTTTCTTCTCTGTTCCTTTGTGACCCATTCAGATGAGAACCAATCAGGCTTTAAGCGATCACATAAGTCACCATTGTGTGTTAATGCAGCTAGTCTGAAGTTATCTATTGAAAATGTCGCGACACCCAAAAGTGGACATCCTTAACTCAAATTGTTAGTTTTTTTTAAAGCTTGTGCCAAAACATTTTCTGAAAACATTAGTTTCACGCCTTCATATGAAGTCTTTTCCGCTCATTCCAATTTTTCCTTCTGCATCTTTTCATTTTCCTCCACTGAGGTTTTTTTTTTTTTTTTACATCTTTGCTTCGTCCCATCCTCTTCCCGGAATAATGGATTTTCTTCTACTCTTTCTCCTCTCTCCCTCTGCCTGCTTGCCTTGCCTGCCCTGTCTTCTTGTCCTCCTTGTACCTTGTCTCCCTCCTGTCCTGGCTGTACAGGAGAAGCTCCGTCTGGCCGGCCACGTGTCGGAGGGCAGCAACATGATAAAGACCATCGTGTTCGGCCGCTACGAGCTGGACACGTGGTACCACTCCCCGTATCCGGAGGAGTACGCCCGCCTGGGGAGGCTCTACATGTGCGAGTTCTGTCTGAAGTATATGAAGAGCCAGACCATCCTGCGCCGGCACATGGTGAGACAATAGAGAACCGCTGTGTCCCAGATCACTCCCCGTCTGCTACACAATTCACCAAATGTACCTTCTGTCATTTTATTGAGTGACTGAATTCTTAGTGTGTAATTTAATCGTAGTGCGACACCTCTAAGTGCTTGACAAAATTCTCTTTTAAAAGTCCTGTTTACACTCACTGATTCTTGTCAAGGAGTGTTTGAAGAGCTTGCTCATCAAATGTGACCCGTCTGTAAAAGGATACAGAACACGAGGTGCTCAAGCCTTTCAATTTGTGTTTTGTATACCAGGCTTAAGATAGTTTATCTTTTTTTTTTTGAGCATTCTTTTTATTGAGCATTTTCAGTCCAGCACACTACATATACAGATGATATGAAATATGTAGCAAATTCAAAATACATCCACAGCAATGATCTCAAAAGTCCTTATTAGGTCGAACATTTCAGGTAGTTGTACTCTGAGTTCCCAGGTGCTCCAACACTTTTCCAAACTTTGCTGTAAAAAGGTCCTTTTGTGTTACGGTTCAGTCTCGTAGGGATCCAAAGATGCAACACAGGGTTAGGAGTGAAGAAAAGATGGATTTATTCAAAGGCTGCGGAGAAGCAGGGGACACCGGGAAGCTCGTGAGGGAGGGAATTCCAGGGGAGGTTTCCAAGAGGGACCTGGAGGCAGGATGGCTGAGGCTGGGGTTCGGCTGCCAAAGCTGGGCTGGGGAGGCAACGATCCGTCAGGGAGGTTCTGGCAATAAATGCAGACGAAAGCAGACGTAAGACAAAGCGAGTTACGCAAAGCACAAAGTCTCTAAGCACACTGTTGGCCCATTACCACTCAAAGGAGGATAATCCACTGGTGCTGGAGCACAGCTTGAAGCAGGCTTTACCCAGCGCTGATTTCTGATGCGCCTCAGGTGTGGCAGAGAGTGAGTGAGACGTCTCCCGTCTGAAAACCCCGCCCAGCCTGAAACACACCTGCAGCCACCAAAACAACAAGCACATACACTAAACAAAGTCTCACACTAAAAGTACAAAAACTCGGATCACCACACTTCTGATCGTTAATACCAAATCTAAGTCTCTCCAGAGAATTATAGTCTGATATCAGAGACTTCCACAGATGTATTGAAGGAGCTTCATCTCCTACACATTTGGTCATAACAGCCTTTCGGCCCAACAAACAATGTAAAGCGGTCTTATGTAATCTTAATGATTCAGGGATGCATCCCAATAGACATAATTGTGGATTAGGCTGTAATTGCTGCTTGATTACCACACGAACCTCAGCACATAGTTTGTCTTTTTAATAAGCAAACAACACATGAATGTACACCTGCACCAGCTACTCATATACAAGTTTCAGTGGTCTTTTCAGGCTCTATGTTTCCGTATTTTGGTGTCTCACTCATCCCGTATTTCAGTAATCAGAAACAGACAATACACCACTAACTACTGCAAATTCCTCCAGGTGTGGTTTAGAAGTGGTGCTTTATCTTTTCCATCACGTCTGTGATCGATGACAGAGAAGTCGCCTCCAGTCAGTGATGTGAAAAAGTGAAAACAGAATGAGTTCTGACTATTGCCTTGGTTCAAACTCTAACCTTGCTATCTCAACTCCTGAGGCAGTTCGTAATTCTATTTCTAGACCGTGCAGACTCTATTTAGATCGACGGTATAACTTTGCCCCTTTGGTGCAGTTTATACTGTTTCTTTGAGTGACAGAACTAATAAGAACTTTTTTTTTTGAGACTCTGCTGCTCAGCTGAACTGAACGATCTGGAGCTGGATAGTCAAACAGATCTCCTGTCGGACCACAACGCTGGCAGATTTGCTGACTAAATCTTAAAAACAGAATTAGAATTTTTAACTTTAATACAAGGAGGCGCTGTTATTACACATTTTAAAAAGCAGTTAACGTGGTTTCATGTCTAAAAAAAACGATTGTTTAGATGAGATCATAGGAGCTGTGTTCTTACAGCTCGGCTCATACATGAGACTAAAATTCTGAATATCTCTGAGTCTGTTGCTTTAGTTTTTACTGTTTATTTAATTACATATATAATTAGTCCCCCATCTGATCTTAATGCCCGTCTGAATCACTGGAGTAGCCTTTTAAACCTGACAACAGCCTCGTGATGTGGACTGAAGCTTCAAAGTGTTTTCTACTCTAACATGACGTCTATGAGGTGTTTAACTAACGTGTACGTAAGTTTAACTTTGCTCTGCTTTCTTCTTGTTTGTCTCTTTAAGGCCAAATGTGTGTGGAAACATCCTCCGGGCGACGAGATCTACAGGAAAGGGAACATCTCCGTCTTTGAGGTGGACGGAAAGAAGAACAAGGTGAGACAGAACCGATCCTCCCTCAGTAGGTCCAGGAATCAGTACGCTTCATCGTTACATTTTCATATTCTTATCTTGAACTTCTCTGACTTAGTGTTTCGAGAAAGGCTCAGCGAATGTTGACTAGGATCCCCCCTGGGACCCTAGTCAGGATTAAGCGGTGTATAGATAATAAATGGATGGATGTTTCCAATGAGAATCTATCAATTCTGATGTCTGTTCTGCTCTTCCTCTCTCAGATTTACTGTCAGAACTTGTGTCTGCTGGCGAAACTCTTCCTGGACCACAAGACGCTGTACTACGACGTCGAGCCTTTTCTCTTCTACGTCATGACTGAAGCCGACAACACGGGCTGCCACCTGGTCGGATATTTCTCCAAGGTAACTCTGGAGACAGTCACTGAGTACTTTCAGATGGATCACTTACAAACACATACACAGAGGTCTGGGGCTTTTCAGAAACACACTGGGATTAAAATATTTAAATTTTGTAGTGTTTTGTTGTGTAAATTTCACTTTTAGATGTGAGGGGCTATTAAGCAACTTTACAAATGGATCATTCTTAAAGGAATACTCAACAGTGTCACGTCTAACATGCTGGTTTTCATGTGCTGCCTGCTGAAAACAGGAATTTTCTATAGTAGGAAGCACAAAATTGAGTTAATTAATGTGCACAAGCTCTTCTTCATGTGTAGTTTTCGATTATTGTCTATTCGTTCTGGACACGATATAACTTTCAATCCACTTCATAGAGTCTTCTCCTTTCTTTGTTGGATTTTAACAAAAGAGGAAAAAGTGAGGATAAGAGAATATAATACCAAAAGTAAACTTGGAGGCAGGAAAAGCAAATGTTGAAGATGAAATGCTTTTTCTTTGGCATTAAGCAAATCCTCTGCCTCTGCAAATATCAGCTGAAAAATACCAGTAACCTCACAAATATCCATGCTACTGTCAGCTTTGAAAAACTCATGTCTGTCAAACTTTTCTGCTCATGCATTTGTTTAGGAGAAGAACTCCTTCCTGAACTACAACGTGTCCTGCATCCTCACCATGCCGCAGTACATGAGGCAGGGCTACGGCAAGATGCTCATAGACTTCAGTGAGTACAGACGCTGCGTCATGAATCTGTTCCAGCCCTCAGTGCTGGAGATGTTTGCAGGTCTGTGTTCTTTTTTTTTTTTTTTCCTCTTTTGTGGTTGCACGCTCTGAGAAGCAGCAGGAGTGCACCTGTGGCCACTCTGCAATTATGGAGGAGGTTGGAAGGCAGGCAGCCCTGATCATCGGTGTCAGTGTTGTGAGCCGTGTGGCGTCAGCGCCTTTGTGCCTCAGTCAAGCGTGAGGTGCTTGTTGGAACTTTGGAACTTCATTTGTTCAAAGAAGCTCAAGCTTTATGTTGATTGATTTCTGCTTTAATTGTAAATAAATAGTTTTTTTGTTTTGTTTTTTAGTACATCTTTTGTTACTCTCCTCATCCTTTAGTTCGGTGGTTCTCAAACAACCCCCAAGATAACACAAGTTTGTGTTTGTGACCCCCATAATTAGAATTTTTAATATCTCATGAGTAATACCTTTGTTGTTCATGTATTAATGCGTTAAAAATGAATGTGTTAATTCCACAGATTAATCTATTTACATTAACATGGTAATTTTCTTTTGAATGAATGAATGAATTGAATTTATTTCGACCAAATGAAAGGGGAAAAAAAATACAAAAACAAAAGAAAATATGTTTAAAAAGAGCAAATAATAATAATAATATCTCATGATCAAATCATAATATTAACAAGTTTAAAAAAGGAGTGGGAAGAAGTAAACACTTTTAATTTTGACAGCCCTAATACACATTAATTTTATAAATGTAGGCTTTATTTATTTTCTACAATGATCGGTCGACCCCCTGAAATCATCTTGGGACCCCCATGGGGGTCCCGACCTCCAGTTTGAGAACCACTGCTCTAGTTCACGGGGACATAACATATTTGGGAGCTCGTCCATTTTCATAAAAGGTTTATCAGTTTAGTTATTGTGTGTCACTTTGTATCGTAGTTGTCGCCGCTGAGTGTTGCTGTTTGTTTTCCTGTTTAGCCTTCACCTCATTCACAGCTTCCTCAGACAGACAGCTGAGCGTCCAGCTGAGCTGCTTCAGCTTCTCCATCGGACACTCTTTTGTTATTCTAATCCCAGGCCAGGTTGTTCGGCTAACCGTTGGTTGGTGTGTGTCATCACGTTTGACAGAGTGTTGTGACAGGTTGCGTTAGTCGGGGTTAGCGGCAGCCTACACATTGTTTGCTACCATATGTCAAGAGTTTGTGGCGAATCCTACAGTGGAGCGGTTTGATAAGCGCAGAAAAAAGAACACAGACGACCTACCGACACACATCTACAGCACTGACGACTGTCACACCCCCTCCCATAAGAACAAACACATCTGCTCGATAAATAAAAAGCAGGGAACACTCACCGCTCACTAGACCACATAAGTCAATATCACAAGGTGTTTGTTTTTGTAAACAATATTATACTAAGTGTGAATAATCTCACCCACGAGACAGAGGAACAGAGAGCCTCCTTTACTCAGTACATGGCGCTAGATGGAGAATATGAGGGGATGGTTTTACTGCCAATTTGAAAAGGGCATGAATAGCCTTCAGGGAGAGCAAACTAAGAAAAA